TTGATATTTGTGGCTCTCACAGAACATTAATGTGAATATTTCGAAATATTTGGTGAACCCTGGCAGGTAAAGAGTCATCTGACGGTGGTTAAAAAGTGAGTTGGGAGTTCAGCTCAGAGTCTCTATTACTGGTTAAGGTTGCACCCTTGCAACACAAAAGTCAAAAGGCCACCATTGTTACAACACTTGGAAAACTAGCCAGAACTTTCTGTGTTGCCTAAAATTAAATAAACTTGTACCATGAAAAAGTGTTTACACTTGTCAGTGGAATGGTAACTTTTTTAAGAAAGGGTTTCAAGCTTTTCAAGTTTGGTCTGTAAGTGGAAGCATTTTACATTTGGAAAATGTAGAATTTATTGTGGACTGAATGTACAGTTGACCCTTGAACAACGTGGGTCCACTTCTTGGGGAATATTTTTTCAATATTAGATATTACAGTACCACATGGTCCATGGGTGGTTGAATCCATGGATTTGGAGGAACTGAGGATGTGAAAGATTGACCCCCAAGTTGTTCAAGGGTCAACTGTAATCCCCTTCTCTGAGCTGCACTGAATGAACCACTGAGTGAGTTCAGTTATTGAGAAAATAATGAATATGTGACTAACTCTTAAATATATTGAGATTGTTCTATTCTTGTCCCTCCTTTCTTCTCTCTTTTATATTTGCATTTGAAGTAGGCGGTGTCTTTTTTTTCTCTAGGCAACTGTAATTGATATAATTCATACTTTATGGGATGATAGAAAATGCCTATATTAAAATATCTTTATTACAATCACATTAAGCAGTAGTGAGAAATAAAAAGAAAATGACCTTCAGCACGATGAATCAAGAAAAAGCGAATCACAAATAAACAGAATTAGAATGAGAAAAACCCTCTACGACTTAGCGATAACACATACGGAGTAGAACTCTTGTTTTTAAAAAGCAGGGGAGTACCAGACACCTCATCACAGGAGGCCGCTTTTGGGTGGAGGTGGAGGGTGCTCCGTGGAGCTATGGGTCACATTCCAGTTTTTAAGTTTGGTGCTGGCCCCTTGGTGCTTTATTATTATGCTTAATTTCCTCCATAAGTCACCTATATCTTTTTGTACGTATACTGTTATATAATTTACACGTATGATCTTAACCCAGTAACGTTTATTCCTCAGGGCTGTGGCTCCTGCCTGTTGGCCAGAGGTCTGGTGCTGGTCTGAAATTTCCACTGGTAAAGTCTGAGGCAGAGAGAGAGAACAGAGTGAGTTTTATAAGACTAAACGGATTCAACCTCAAGGATTTGTGTCTATCCTTCGGTTATGTCCTTCCTACTTGATTTGCTGTTCAAAGGACCTTTAAAAATAAAACCACCGAGTTCAAAGGGTGCAGTCTGTTGCCTTATTTGTTTTATTGTCCTTACAAGTGGCAAACGGACACAGTCAATG